AGAGTTGAACCAGAGGCTCCATTTAATGAAGGGATCCAGCACAGTCCTCTTCCTATTTTCCATTAGCTGCATTGATTTTGGATTTCTTTGAACATCTCCATAATGTCCCTAGAGTGGTACCTTCCCTCTTCAGCATCCCTCTCCTCCACTGACTTTCAGCTTCCTTTTGTGTGTTGTCTTTTCCCATTAGACTGTAAGTCCCTTGAGGGCAGGCACTCTTTTTATTATTTGTATCTTCACTGTTTAGCACAGTGCCCAGCACATAGTAGGTGCTTAATAAATTTTTATTAACTATTGTCTGAAGTGATGGTATGGAACACTATATATTAGGTCAGTCTTTTTGAATGTGGTAATTGGGTTTGTTAAACTTCTTTTATTCTTTGTTACAACAAAAGGTATCAAAAAAATTTTAAAAGAAAAACTTCATTCTCTTCTTTTCTCTATCCATCACCCACTGAACTCACATAAGAACCTAGAGGAGATTTTGTAGGCACAGGCTTGGATTAACTATATGGTTATTTATGGTGCTGCATTGTTTCTCTCTCTCTCTCTCACACACACACACACACACACACACACACACACACACACACACACATGCACACACCCCTTAAAAATATTATTCACACCTTTCCTTAGCAATGTAATCTAGTTCTTCCCAGCTATTGAATAAACACTTTAGAAGTTTAAGTACTAATGAATTTCCAAAATAGAAGTCAATCAGAAACTTTGTATGTATTATAAAGATATGCTTTAGCAAATTTTTCTTCATTTATTATATCTCTGCAATTCTTGAAGTTTTGAAAAATGATTGAATGTAATAACGCTTGAAATTAGTCATGTGTGTCTCTTAATATTTAATTGGTAATGTGTTACAGGCCACTTATACCTCCCATGTGCCTTTTCATTACCCTTTGAGTGATTTGCAACTTTATTACTTCAAAGGTCATGTTATTCAATAAGTTATAATCATACAACATCACCGGAAGATACCTACTTGTTTCTTGCTAGTGCTGTCATCAAGGATATCCTCATTTCACATATAGATGACTTTCAAAGGTTTATATAGATGGGAGAGGAGGCATAGGTTTGTAGTAATTGATTTTCTTTTGGTCAGTTTTTTTTTTATATTAATAAGGTTTGAGATTTTTACATGCGTTGGTACCTTCCCTTCTTCAGATATCTTTTATATCAGTCTGGTGGAACAACCTTCACAGGTTGTATCTCCTACACATAGTACAATCCTATGGTAATTTTTCCCATCTTTGGTCTCTTTAGTACCATTTCTACATCCAGTACTGTGATGTTAAGGTCCAATTGGGACTTTTTACTGTTCTTAATGGAGAAAACTGTTTGTTAAAATGTTACTTTATAATCTTTTACATTTTTATTGTTTGTTATCCTCCTTCGATTTTCCCCTTGAATGTCCTTGAGATGGCTTTGCTTAGTTCTTTCTTGCCAAGTTTTCTTAAATTGGTTTTACCCTACACTACTTCTTTTCTTTATGAGACAACACTGCTCATCATCGTACATTATACTTTTTAAAATACGATCTTAAAGATGAGTTTATGTTGCCCTTGTAACCTTTTCCTTCCATTTGGCGGACGTTGAATGTTCACTGCTTTATGGGTTCTTTTGGGCTCCTTGTCAAGTCAATTCAACAGCATTTTCTTTTCTTTTCTTTTCTTTTTTGTTGTTATTACTTTTTGAGTTCTAGGTTGCTTCCCTCCTTCCCTCCCAACCCCGTATTAGGGAAGACCAACATTTGGTAGAGATATGTATATATGGAACCATGCAATATATATACTTCCATATATCAGTTCTTTCTCTGGAGATATATAGCATTTTCCTTCATAAGTCCCTTATAGTTGATTCAAGTTATATTACTCAGAATAGCTTAGTCATTTACAGTTACTCTTTGAACAATATTGTTGTTATTGTATACAACATTCTCTTGGTTCTGTTTGTTTCACTCTGTCAACATTTATTAAATGTTTACTATGTGCCAGGTATTGTGCTAAGCACTCGATAAAAAGAAAGGTAAAAATAGTTCTTGCCTCAAGGAACTCATAGTTGAACGAGATAGACAACATGCAAATGGATTATACAAACTGCATATATACATACATATACATACGTATACATATACATATATACACACTCACGCACAAGCTAACTTGGAAGTCATCTCAGAAAGACTTCTTACAGAAGGTAGGTTTTTATTTGAGACTTAATGGAAGCCAGGGAAGCTCTAAGGTAGCAAGAAGTGGGAGTATTCTAGGCATGAGGGACATTCAGTGAAAATGTAAAATTGGAAGATGGGCTGTCTTGTATAAAGAACAAGGAGGCCAGTGTCACTGGGTCATAGAGCATTTGCTTGCTAAAATTTATACATAAACTTTAAAGTATTTCTAATTGATATTTTATTGAATTTTATTCCCCAGTAGAGGGGAATAAAGCATCAGAAGACTGGAAAGGTAGGATTGATATAATATTGTGGCAATTAATTTACTTTGATTAAGCTGTTGGTATGAAATTATAATTGCAATTAATGTGCATTAGACTCTCCTTGAGCTCATTGAGAGCAAGAATGGTTTTTCACCCTTCTTTGTATCCCCAGTACTTTTCAGGGTCTGCCACATAGTAGGCACTTAAGATCCTTCCCATGCCACAAAGAGAGATCAGAGTAGGCTTTTGTGAATGGTATACTTCAATAACCCGTAAGTATGATATAACTTACTGTATGTTATTTTTCTTTTTTTTAACAAAAAAAAGGTTTATTCTGATCTTTACTTCCAGATTTAACTTAAATATTTATTTTTAGGAAGTGTTCATTTCCTTAATTTACGTTTTCCTATTTATAAGTGGCATCTTTTTCTAAAATTCTGACTATAAACACCAAATTAAACGGGTGTTTTCATACACATATTAGAACCAAACCTCTCCCCCCAAAAAAAAACCAATTACATATGAAACTGAAGCTTTCTATTATATAGTTTGCTTTTATTTTTAAATTTAAGATGTAACTTTCAAAACTGTCCTGCTTGTCTGTGATTCCTCCTGACCTTACTTCTGTTCCCTTCTGTGCATTTTAAATGCTTTGATGACTCACTTTTCTTTCTCTTTTTCTGTTGCCTTATCTGTAGTCTCCCTCTCCCTTCAGTCCTCCCCCTCTCCATACTCATATTCACACACAATCGAAGAGGAAGAGGAAAAAAAAAAAGCTTACCTATATACAGAATCAAGTAAAACAAATACATATATTGGAATTGATGTCTTTGAATAAAGTTTTCCTCAACCTCAAAATATATGAAACTTAGGTAGTTTCAGAATTTTTTTACATCTCCAAGTTCAAATTGAAGTAATATAAAGCATTAAAAAGAATTCTGGCATTAACATTTTATAAAAGAAAAAATGGCTAATGATTATTTAGAATCCACCAAATAAAATGTGTTTGTACTTCAGTGTGCCAGGCATCTGTGATTCTGTTAATATGGACCTTTCTGTCAACACAGATCACAATTCATTTTCTGCCTTGGTTGAAAAATTAATTATCCTATGAACAACCTGCTAATGATGCTCTTTGAATTTAGTTGTACTGGCCCTTGGACAACATTTTCAGTCTGTTATCTGGCATGTGTACAAAGCTTTCCAACTTAGAAGGACCTGTGAGTTTGTTCTCTGTCATAAAGTAGCCTTCGAGCACCACAGATTACCTCCATACTGTGATGAGGCAGTTGAGTTCAACTCTAGGTGAGGCTTCAGTATATATATTCCCTCCAGTGTTAACATTCTTACAAATGCTTCAGACTGTAGCTGGTGGTGTAGTCTGTGTTGGTACTAAGGTTTGTTGGAACTCAAGTAAAACTATAATAGATAAAATTGCCAAGAAATTCCTAACATCAAAGTGTTAAAGTGGAGTTTGTTTAAAAAAAAATACTTGATAGTATTCCTCAAGGGCTTGCATTTTTTTTTAAATAAGCTTATTTTGTTTGAAGTGTCTCATTAATTTCTCTTCAGGGAGAATCTTAACTGGGCTTCGACTAGGTGTTTATACCACACTTTTTCAAGCGACACATTCTTTTAAAAAATAGTGATATTTTTCACAGTTCCAAAAGACTTAGAAGTGGTTAGGCAAAGATTATAAAATATGATAACTTTGTTAGCAAGGTGTAGTTTTTTGTTTGATTTATGTGAAATCCTAAGAATTTTTGCTATGTCAGAATACTTTAAATAAACTCTAAAAACACTTTTAATATTATGGAAAGGGGATTAAAACTGAAGCTTGATTTGAATTGTTTTGTATAAAGTTATATTTTTAATATTTAAAGATAATTTTAAATGCCAGGCCCAAGCAATAGTCTAATGTAACTTTTGGTTTCCTTAGTGGTAAGATACTTTTCCTTGTATAAAACAAATGGCGCTTAAGTGACAGAAACATGACTGTAAAGTACGCATTATATTTGTTTCAGTCAGCATGTTCCTAGTGACAGGTGCTCAATGGTTGTTGGTATCCTTGTCAGCAAAGGAGAATCCTTTGACATTAAAGTCCCCAGCTCAATCCTGATTCATCGTGACTCTATTGGCAGTTCCATCAGGCAGCAACTGATCAGTGAATGTCAGAGCTGCTGCTGTTCTTCAGGGATGTCACCAGCCCTCTGTGTTTTTTGGCTTAGCCTTACTTGTTGTTCAAACTTACCAGACTTTCAAACAGTTTTCCTTTGGGAAATGAGCTGAGAGGTCATAGGGAATGTGGGTATCTTCAGGGCATGCAAAACCATATCCAAAGTGACTTACATTGAGGCTTGTAATGATTACCTTGACTCTAAGCCAATCAATGGTTGGAGCACCTGGGGACTCATTAAATGGCATTTGTGGTTTCTGGAACCTAGGTTTTGAGCTATATTTCAGGGAAAGTGGTGACAGTCTTTCATGTCTAATTGACCTCTTCTCTTTGTTTCACTTTCCATATTTGCCTCTGATGGGGTCCCCAATGGCAGCAAACAGCGCTGCTCAGCATTTTGAACTTCTGTTCAGAGCTTCAGCACCTCAGTCTGGGGAGCTGTGTAATGGTAAGTATTTGAACATATTCTCACTCTTTTTCCCTTTTGTGTGCACTACCCACCCCCAACCCTGCTATACATTAATGGTAAATTATTTTCTTTCATTTTCCTTCCTGCCCACTTTCAGATATTTCTTTTAAAGTTTATATAAAATTGAAATGTTGATGATATTATACAAGGGAGGCAGCACAGCACATAGTAAGTGCTTAATAAATGCTTCTTAACTGACAGAATGGTACAGAAATTAGGAAGACTGTTGGACTCAGAATCAGCCTGATAAGCTTAGATCTATTACGTGTGATCAGAGACTTTAGGCAAGTCATTTAGTCCCTCTGGGCCTCAGTTTCCTCATCTCAAAAATTAGGAGATAGGACTCAATTATAGCTAAAGTCCCTTCTAACTCTAAAATTCTGTGATTCTAAGTGAAACTGAAAGAACCTATTAATGACTTTCCATCCTTTTCATACCGATTATGTGAGGGAAGAAATATAAATGATATGAAATCAATTCATTCTCTTTCAAAGGATAGTGGAATTCTATTGTGTATACTAGTGGACCTATATATAGCAAAAAATTCCATGCTTACCATGAGATAACCCCATCCTTCATTGTAATATAGGACTAGATGATTCCTCCCCCCCCCAAACAATTATTCGTTGGGCACACCCAGAAAATGTTTTTGGTTTTTAAATTCTTAGAGAAGGACCCTAAATGGGCAGTTTGGAGGTTCACAATAGCCACAATGGTACCACAGACTTGAGATCCCCAAATGATCCTTAAACCTTGTAAAAACCAAGAAAAGATGACCTGTAGCAGCTGTGAATCACTAGTCTGGTTCTGTTCAGCAACCATATCCATAAAAGGTCTCTAGAAGATTCAGAGCTGCCAAGTGGTGGGGAATAGAGGACAAAGAGGCTGCATGCCCTTTATCCTTCAAACTCTTAACAGAGAAGCTAATTTTATTACCATATATAGGTTCAGGCCTGTCAGAGACTCTTTGGCCAGTTTTGGTAATGGAAAGGAAGAATATAAAGATCCATATGTCGGTACCTCCCTGATGTGACATCAAGTCAGTCTTTATGTTGGACTGACTCTGACCTTGTCCCTGGGAACGACTTAGCATCTCAGCTCTTCCATGGCTGGGCCTTCTAACTTGTACCCTAGTCCTCTGGTGACAGAATGCTTGCCAGTCTTTTGTCTTGCACCACAAGTCTTCAAATATCTAGGTTTTTGAATCTGATACTAGACTGCTATCCTCTAATGCTAATGATAGCTAGTGTCAAAAAAGTTTGTTCCTACTGTATACCTTTATTAACATCCTTCTCTGTTTCTGCTTAGGTTGACACCCTGGATTTTGGTCTAGTTTTAGACTTTAAGCTAACAATACTAACATCCAGCTTGCCCTTTCTCCCTTATGCTCCGCTGTCAAAGTGATCTTTCTAACCTGCCATGCCCTCCCCCAAAACCTTTTCAGTCTTTGCATACCTTATACTCTCCTCCCCAGACCTGAACATACTCTGTGATTCAGTGACACTGACCTTGCTCTTTCTCTAACATCTCTCAATTCCAGGGATTTTCACTGGCTGTCCCTCCTACATGAAATGCTTTGCTCCCCTGTCTATGTCTCCTGGCTTCCTTCAAGTCCCAGCTAAAATCCCATCTTCTATAAGAAGCTTTTCCTAATCCTTCTTAATTGTAGTTCTTAATTCTTCCCTCTATTGATTGTCTCCAGTTTATTCTGTTTATAGCTTGTTTGTTTTTAAATGAGGCAATGGAGTTGCCCAGGGTCACACAGCTAGTGAATGTTATTATGTGTCTGAGGCTGGATTTGAACTCAGGTCCTCCTGACTCGAAGGCTGGAGCTCTATCCACTGCGCCACCTAGCTGCCCCATGATTAGCTCATTTGTACTTAGTTGTCTCCCCCAGTAGACTGTGAGATCCTTGATAGCAGGAACTGTCTTTGCCTTCCTTGTATCCCCAGTGCTTAGCATAGTGCCTGGCACATAGTAAGTACTTATTAAATGTTTATTGACTGACTGTGCTGATTTTCCCAGTTTTCAGGTCTACTTTTTTCCGCCCTAAAATAACATAGCCCAGTTTGTATTCAGGTTGAGATCTCTGGCCTTTTCCTGACTCTGTGTATCTGCCTAGGTTCCTTAGCCTGTCTTTATTTGATCTGACATGTAAGGAGAGGGACTATGACTTATTTATATTTGCAACCTCTCCATCCTTCCTCTTCCTCCCCCCACTGGTACATTGAATATAATGAGTGCTTAATCAACATTAGCTGTATGACTTGAATGACTATATGAACAAATGAGTGAATTCTGCTTCTACCTAAGACCTAGGAATAAGAGTTACATCCAGTGGTCATTTTCATAGGCTTCTGAGTAACGCTGCAGGGGCCTGCTACAGTGTATTTATGTATAGCTAATACTGAAGTGAAAAGTAATCTGGCAGTGGCTATATTTCGTCTTGGCAGTTCTGTCTTCTTGCCTTTGGAAGGATTCTTTTGTGTTTTTGCATTAGTTGAACTACTAGCTTATCCCCAAATTGGATATTGTTACTACTGTGTTTTGTTTCCTGGTACACAAGCACTAGATAATTACCAAAATGATACTTTCACCACCACCTATAAAGTGATTCTTTCCTGACAGTGTTCCAAGGTATGTTTGTCTTTGAAATGCTGCTCTTACTCAACATACTCCAATTCTTCACTAAGTAACTGTCATCTCAGTTTACCAAAAAAAAAGTCTTTTTTTTCCATTTAAACCCATTTGACCAGGGCAGTGAGATAAAGATATGCGTTCACCTATATTTGATCCCATTATATTCACACTTTTGGTGACCTTGTCTTATTGCATAACCTATAAGCTGGTTCTGAGGAAAAATTTCCAGAAGTCTCACAGCAGTCTCCAAAATTCACCAGTATGGTAAGGTAGACAGCACTTGCTACCAGTAGCTTAATACCACATTAATCTTAGTTTCTTGCGTACTAGTTTGCAAGAAGGTATGTTAGCATTCTTCATTTCTGACATGCTTCAGAGAACATAAGATTTTCATTGGTGAACCATATAATGAATTGTTAACATCTCAGGAATGAGCCTTTCAGATAATTTTACAGTGTGATGGAGTCCACAGAGCCTCCTCTCTTTTAGCTTTGCTTTTGAGAACCTAGAGCCAGCCCCACACCTTAATATAGCATTGGAATAGCACTAGTGAAGGTATTATCATGTTAATTTTATTTTTTGTGTTGTTTATGATCACATGTAGCATTTACTTGGTAAAGACTGGTTCTTGACCTCTTTCCAGGTCAATTTTCAGACTAACACACTATATTAACTATGAAGGATTAAATTTGTTTCATATCTTCTATTGAATATCTTTATTGTACCCACTATAAAATAGATTGTTGGTCTAGGATTAGAACTTAAGCCCTGTTGGACACGCAGAAAATTTTAGTGTTGAGATAGAGTTAGGACGTTGGCTCTGATGAGCAGTTGATAAGCAGCAGAACTTTATATTTGGAGGAAAACTTAATCTGCAGTCCCAAAGATATTATGTAGATTAAGTCTTTGCAAAATAATTTTACTTTTAAAATGAGGACCGAGACAAAGAGGGTAAGGCAGAAGAAGGTATGAAATTGTACCTGCATATACTCCGAGCTGGTGTTTATTGTTATCCAGGTTCCTGAAACATGAAAGTTGAGTTGGGTATGGAGCACCCTAACTCATTCTTTTAGTGAGCTCCACACTGAGTGGTGAATAAAGCCATCAAAATGTTTACCTCATAGAATATTCAAATTTCTCTTTATATCTAGGATCACAACTAAAGGTTAGAGGGCAGGTGGGGATGATAGTTAATATATCATCCTTGAATATTTTCTGAAATTAATTTTATTTCCAGAAGCTGAGTTGACAATATTGTAATGAAAGTGAGTTCTAAACAAGCCTTCATCAGTGATCAAGCTAGTCAGTGTCATTTTTTTTTTATCCTTTGTTTTACAGTGACTGTAGTATCAGTGAAACTCTTTGGAAAGGTCTCAGTTCTTAATAGGTAGAAAAAGATTATAGACTTTTCTGACCCCAGAGAGCTCAGAATCAATGTCAGCCTGGAGGAGTTGTCTTTTGCAGTACCCTGGGTATCTGCACTTGGCCTATTTCCATTCAACACTTTAATCAATGACTTGGAAAATATATAGAGGACATACTTATGAAATTTTTAGATGAGATAAAGCTGGAAAGGATAACTAATATACTGAGTAAATGAATTAGAATTTCAACAGATTGAAATAATGGGTTAAAACCAACTGTAAAGTCTTGCACTTGGGTTTAAAAATTCATAAGTACAGGATGGAAGAGAAATAGTTCATGTGAAAAAAAGAAGCCTAGGGATTTTAGTGAATTGCAAGCTCAATATAAATCTACTGTGATTTGGCAACCAAAAGAGCCAATACAATCTTAGGCTGCATGAACAGAAATGTAGTTTCCAGAGTGAGGAGATAATAGTGCTACTGCCCTCTGAGGTTTTCAGAAACCACATGTAGAATATTGTTTCTTGTTCTGGGCACGGCATTTTAGAAGTAACAGTAACAAGATGGAATACCTCCAGAGTGGAGTAACCAGGATGGTATGAGGTCATGAAACCATGCCCTAGGGAGAGCAATTGAGGAACAGAAGATGTTTGTTGTAGACAAGAGAAGACATAAAAAAGGAACGTGGCATAGCAGAAAAAAACATTTGATTTGGAGATTTAGAACCCATCTGTGAATTCTGGGTCTGTTGTTTATTACTTCTGTGACCTTGAACAAGTCATGTAATATCTCATGGCTTTAGTTTCCTGATCTTCAAAATAAAGGAATTGGGGGGCGAGATGGCGACCGAGGGCGATGTGGAACTGGAACTGGAGAACGAACCGAGTGGCCCTGAGCGGCCGCCGGAGAAGCTGCGGAAACATGACGGTGGCGCTGCCGATCTGGAAGGAGTGACCCACGATGCAGAAGAGAAAAAGATCTAGAGCTCCAACCTGGAGATGGCGATGTCCGCGATTGGAGACCGGCGGTCCCAGGAGCAGAAGGCCAAGCAGGAGTGGGAGAAGGAACTGGCAAAAGTTACAATCAAGAAGGAAGATCTGGAACTAATAACGAATGAGATGGAAATCTCACGGGCAGCAGCAGAATGGAGTTTGTGAGAAGACATGGGCAATGTAGTAGAAGCTCTTATTACCCTTACTAACTAACTTTTGAATGACCACACCTTGGTGGATTTATTTATTGGAATAAAGGTGTCTTTCTTTCACCACCCCCCCAAAAAATAAAGGAATTGGATTAAATGATCTCTTCCACTTCCAGAACCTATGATCCATGATATGATAGCCATCTTCAAAAATTAAAGAATAGTAATGTGAAAGAAGGAATGAGCTTCCTTTGCTTATCTCAGACAAGTAGAATTATGACCAATGGGGAGATGTCACAGGGATACCATACCCATTTTTATTCAATATAAGGAAAACTTGCTAACAGTTTACAAAGATGAAATGGACTGCCTTGCTAAGAACTTGGTGATGAGTTGGATTAAATAACTTCTGAGTGCCCTTCCAACTCTAAAATTCCATTATATTCTTATCATCTCTTTCTAGTTTAAGACTTTTTCTGTGTAGCATACTTTGTACTACTCATGGCAATTAAATAACTTCCCCAAAGTTGTGGGAAGTAAAAAATACCTTCTAGAATCTTAAAGATTTAAGGAACCTTAGAGATAATTTAGTTAGGAAGATTCATTTAGAGTTTGACTTACCTAAGGACATGTAGCAGCTTAGCCAGGACCACAGCCCTACTCTGTCCTCCCAGTTTAGGCCTCTTTCTTCTATACTGCAATTTGGCCAGTTTTAGCCTTCTTCCCTACCAACCTTTTAATGTATCTTTTAGCAAGTAGTAGTTTCTATGCTGTCTTCTATTTGGCAGCTATGCTAAGTAGCAGTGAAATAGCCCATTGACAAAACAAGGAGAAAAAAAGTAAAGGGAGAATTTTAATAGGCTACTCACTTGGTAATAGGCCCCTTTATAAATAAAAGTTGGCCATATGCTCTGTGTTTTGACAGTTCTAAAAACATAGTGCTTACTTCTGAAGAGATTGTCTATGGCCATTCTTTTACTTGGTTCTTATATAATGTTTCATCAGTAATTATACTGTAGTATTCAGCTCATTTTTTGCCTCTGAAGGATATCCGTGCCCAACTTGGAAGCTCTTGCTAGTGCGCAGCAGGCAACACCATATCAGAAAGGGAACTACCTACCAGTTTGACAATCAGAAGACTTAGCTTTATATTCTTGTGTTTGATGCCCACTAGTTGTGTGACCCTGGTCAAGTCCTTTCCTCTTTGGACTTTTTTTTTCTTTCTGAAAAGTAAAGTAATGAAACCTGACCCTACAAAAATTGTTTTTAAAAGTAATAAATATGTGAAAATCAATGCGATGATAAATATTAGAACTCTGAGCTTTTAGGAGAACAAGTACTGTATAATTATTCCCTACTTCTTCAGAAGTGCTACCGGAGGTATGTGTGTATGTACATGCATGCGTGCTTACGTACACACATATCTTCACAACTTAAAAATGTTTGGTTTGATTATCATTAGACTTCAGTTTCTTCAGATCACACCTATTTTTCATCCTGTTAACATTTCTTGCAGGTTACCTTTGTTGAAGTGAGGCAAGATACCAATGGTACATTATCAGTTGACTATAAATTGCTAGAACCTTGTCACATCAGTCATAGAAAACTCTATATTCAGTACTGCCCATAGTTCTGATAGCAACTCATTTTGCATGCTATTTAAGATCCAATGGTTACAAATTCAACCTTATCAAAACTATTCTATTAATGTTAAAAATACATTTAACTTAAATAGAACTTATTATATGTAGGTTCCTTCACTTAAGGGAACAAATGTCTTATACCCCATTTTGCTTTCTGATTCCATTTTTTCTTTGACTCCCATTATAAAAAAGGAAATATTCTGCTAGGAAGAATTTTGGCCTGTAGTTGTAACAAAAAAAATGAAAATCTTTTAAAATCACATATTTTAAAATAAATAACTTCCTGACAAAATATCATTATAATAAATTTTAACAGCTATACTCTATACTCAAAAATAAATAATGAAATAGATATTCTGAAAGTGAAACTATAAGATGGTCTGGGAAACTCTTAGTATGTCATTCACTTCACTGTTGTTCTCATATTATTCCCATGAGGAACATAGCAATATTTAAAACTTTATTAATTTTGCTGGACTTTTCACCAGCCTCAAAATACTTTAATATTTTTATATTACATTTTACACAGATTAACTCATTTTACATAATTTTAATTTTTCCTATCACCTTACTATGTTTTTTTCTTCTTCAGGCAACTGGGCAACATTTATTCAGTATCCATCAGCAGCATGAGATGGCAACACATGAAGCTAAGGATTAAAATGTTTAGTCTTTCATTAACAATTTCCAAACTCCAGTTTTTGTGGCTTGTAGTTGTCTAGTTAACTTATTAATACTGACAGATTACAGTAGTAGATTATACCAATTGTATCCATTAAATTCCAAACCTAATGGTTTAATTAATTACTACTGTTCTTCATTAGGGCCTGTTACTACACATAGATGATGTTTAATGAATTTAACAAAGTAAACATTCTTGTTAGGTAAACAGCAGGTACATGAAGTTTATAGTAACACATCTAGTAGAAGAATCTTCCAGTAGGTTGAAGTTCAGAAGTCTAATTGTAGGCACAAAATGGCAGTATTAGGACCCCTCGATTCTATAAAACTTGATGAATTTATTATGTATAGAATTTCATTTAATAATTTCTATTAAATTTCTATGAAATAGTGAATATTCTGTTATCATTTTATGGTATGCTGAAGATGGTCAAACATTAGTGGGTAGATCTGTATTAATAAGAATCTTTATTAATAAGAATTAATGAGTTATACAGATAACCAACTTGCAAAAGAGTCACGTTTGAAAAGTTCGGATGTAGGTTTGGTGTTGGAAACTCGAAACGTTTTCCCATAGAAACAATGTTATAAGTAGTGGTTGGTAATTTCCTCAAAATAGCCATGTCATCCTATGATCCATAAAAGTAAAGTGCTGTAGAAGTTAATCATCATGTAATAGTGTGTCTGTGTTTGCAAAATTGTTCACAGAATTCCAAATTGAGATGCCATTTATCCCATTTTTTTTTTGTGGTCGAAACAAGATATTCTCTTTCTTCACTTACCAGGCAAGTCATAGCCGTAAAAGCACTGCTGATGGTGTCTCTAACAGGATAGGATTTGGAGGAGGTGGAACCAAGAATAAGGGATTCTGAGATTAGGTGCAAGAAAGGGATTAAGCTGGAATGAGGGACCAAGAAGGGAGTTCCAGGAGGTGGTGGTCAGGGAGCTATAGGTATAGTCCCTTCTGTTACTATAAGCCCCAAGAGAAAGTACTCAAGTAGTTCCTGCCATCCAGTTTTCTTTCTTATATTTAGGTATTGACTTGCCTACTTTTCTCTGCTCTTGGGAATGGGTCGAGAGGCTTGGAAAGGAGGAGAGAATAGGTAGTTCACATTAATTCATGGAGTAGGCAGTAATTTAAAAGCCCCATCCTATTTTCCCTCCCCATCCTTCTCTTTTTTTCAGGCAGACATTGTAGAAACAGTCATATAAGTACAAAATGGTAGAATTTTTGTTATAATAAAATGGGATGGGGTATATGGCCCTGGGGTGAAGAACAGAATTAGTCCCATAAGGACTGGGGATAAGGAAGTAGATCGGATGGGGTTGGGAGTGGGGAGTAGAAATGCATTATCAGACCAGACTAGTCCTGGGGCTTGATGGATTAGGTCAAATGGAAGAGAAGTCTCAGGGTTGACCCTTTCCTCTTTTACACTTGTTAGTCCTGCCACCTTATGCCTCACTCTTGTCCTGCCTAGGGAACTAGATAGGGATCATCAATACCAAGCTATTGGAGGTTGGGAGAAAAAGAGAAGAGTAAAGGGAAGAAAATGCCAAACCATGGCAATGAGGAAGGGAATTTCTACAACTAAGAGCCTTGAGCTATGGCAACTCTTAAAGTATTCCTTTGGTATGACAAAAGCCAAGAATCCCTCTCTCTCTGTCTCTCTGTCTGTCTCTTTCTCACACATACACAGGCACACAGACACACAGACACACACATTCTTGCAAACTTTAGTGGGTAATTAAGACTATAATAGTGTTTTTAAAAGTTTACATTTCTGAGGATAAAAGTATATAAAATACTGATTTTGTTTGGTTCACAGATTGAAGACTATGATGTGATAGCTAGTATGATAGGAGCCAAATGCAAGAAACTCCGTACCCTGGATCTTTGGAGATGCAAGAATATTACTGAAAATGGTATAGCAGAACTGGCTTCTGGATGTCAGCTTTTGGAGGAACTTGATCTTGGTTGGTGCCCTACCCTACAGAGTAGCACTGGATGCTTTGCAAACCTTGCACGGAGACTACCAAACTTGCAAAAGCTTTTTCTTACAGCCAACAGGTCTGTGTGTGACACAGATATTGAAGAACTGGCTAATAACTGCTCTCGTTTACGGCAACTAGATATATTAGGTAAGGAAATATTCTATAAATTATCTTAAAATCAGTTTTCTTTGATATGGAAACTTTTGTGGGGGAGAAGAGGAAGAACATCCTGACTGAGTATAACCTTGGCATTCTAAGTGCAGAAGAATACAGAGAGTAATTTTTTTTAAGGATTCAATATATCATTAAAATAATGCCATCACCATAAAGCATAATTATAACCATAATGTTGATCATTTGGGAGATCTTAGAGGTTGATCAGAAAAGAAGATGGGAGACAGATACAGGACCAAATGATAATACTCATTAGAAAGATTAAAATATCAAATCAGTAACACCTGGGTTCAAGTCTCATCTCTAACAAATATAAGATCAAGTCAGGAAGACTTGAATTCAAGTCTAACCTCTGACAAATATTTACTGCCTGGCCCTAGACAGTCATTCAAGCTCTTAGTTACCCAGACAACTCTCTAAGAGGATAAGTTGCTAGACATTTGCATATGTGTATTAGTAGAGGAACTTTCTTTATAGGATCTCACTGCAGAAGTGAAATCAGGATTCCAGAGGCAAACAACATCAGAAACAAAAACAAATCAGACTATAAGTATTGTAATTACAAATCTTGTAAGAAAACTGAATTTAATTAATAGTGATTTTCAAGTAAATGAAAGAGTAGGTAATCTCAGTGAGCATAGAATATTAGGAAGTGTACTTAAGCTATGGTATAAGGGATATATTTATATCTGTCTATCTATCTATCTGAACAATCTTAGATAAATTAAACTGTGAGCTGGTTCTTAAAGGAAATTGTGGAATTGCTATCTTTAAAGATCTAGCAACTGCGGACCTGCCCAAATACAGATATTTTGAAATCCTTTCTTACTCTCTCATTCTTAGATTCATACATTCATCATATGAAACATTCTTTACATATACATAGGAGTTCATTATGTTTTGTTTAGTCATTTTCAGTCATGGCCAAGTCTTCATGACCCTGTTTGGGGTATTCTTGGCAAAGATATTGGAAGTGGTTTGCCATTTTCTTTTCCAGCCCATTTTACAGATGAAGACATAGGCAAATGGGGATAAGTGACACAGGGTCCCACAGCTAGTGAGTATCTGAGGCCAGATTTGAATTCAGCAAGATGAGTCTTCCTGACTGCAAGCCCAGCACTCTAACCACTGTGCCACCTGACTGCTCATGAGTTCATCATACCTACCTGTAAATGGGAGTAAACAGAAGATTGTTGTGTTGTTGTTGTTCAGTTGTGTCAGACTCTTTGTGACCACTTTAGGGGTTTTCTTGGCAATAAGATATTGGAGTGGTTTGCCATTTCCTTCTTCAGCTCATTTTACAGATGAGGAAACTTAGGCTTGCCTAAGGTCACTTGCCCAAGTGGCTTGCCTAGGGTCACATAGCTAGTAAGTGTCTGAGGCAAGATTTGAACTCAGGAAAATTAGTCTTCTACTCTCCCCTGTGGCACCTAGCAGCTTCACCTGTCTGCCTTAAACAGAAGATACTGACTGCTAACATACGTACACAATATATGTGTATGTATATTCAACTAAAAATTCAACCTAAAAAAGATTATCTCTACAACAAATTCAAGTAGAAACTCAATAGGGAAAAGGTGGGTTTTCTTCCACAAGGATTATATGAATACCTGAGGAAATAAAGAAAGAAATAAAAATGAAATAAAAGCTCTGAAAGAAGTAGACAGAGAATAAATGGCTAAGAACAGAAGATGTTATACCTTATCCAGGTAACAGAAGCCCTGAAAAATTATAATGACCAAACACAAATCAGTGTCTCTATGAAATGGCAAGAAATTATAGAACAAAATCGAAGATTGAAAAAGTGTGTGTGTGTGGTGGTGGTGGTGGGGAATGTAAAATGTCTACTATCATAAACAACAGACCTGGAAAACAGCTCAAAGAAAAATTTAAGAATCTTGGTATGCTTTCTTTAAAAGCCTAGAAATTGTATTTCAAAAAAATAATAAGTGGAAACTATACAGATCTATTAGAACTAAAGATAAAGTAAAAATAAAAAGAATCCACCAATCACTTCCTGAAAAGAAAAAAAAACTAAACCAAAAACCCAAAAGGAAAAATCTCAGGAATGTCATAGTCAAAATCCAGAGCTTCTAGGTGAAAGAGCTTCTAGGTGAAAAAAATATTGCAAGCAGACAGAAGGGAAGAGTTAAAGTACCAAGGAAACAGAAATAGGATCACACAAGACCTGACAACTTCTGCCATAAATGAGAGGAGAGCTAATAATTAATAATAATAATAATGATGATGATGATGATGATGATAACATTTATTAAGTAGCTGCTATGTGCTAGACTTTTTGCTAAGTGCTTTATAAATGTTATTCCATTTAATCTTCACAACAACCCTATATTATTATTAATCCCCATTTTACAAATATAAAAACTGAAGCAATAAGAGATCAAGTGACTTTTTCAAAGTCACATAGCTAGTAAGGGTCTGAGGCAAGATAAGAACTCAGGTTTTTCTGACTCCAAGCCCAGCACTCTATCCACTACCCCACCATGCCACAGTGTTCCAAAAAACAAGAAATATAGGCTTCTTACAACCTACAATAACTTGCCCTGGAAAAGTAACTATAATCCTACAGGGAATAAAATGGATCTTTAATAGAATAGAAGGCTTTGAAATATTCCTGTGATGCTGATTAGAAACTCTGAAATGCAGACCCAGGAGTCAAAGAATCCTGGAAAGGTACATGTATTTGAGCACTTAGAAGGGACTGCATGATATGGTTATGCTAATGTCATAATAGGATGAGGAGAAACGAGTGTCATTTCAAAATCTAATTATCTTCAAGGAATATCAAGGTGATTAAATAAGACAAACAGAAAGGAGATTGCTTCAGTTATAAATCATTAATGTGAATCACCTTCCTTAACTTTTCTCACTTTATTGTAAAGGTGGGGGAGAAGTACTAAGAGAGGAAATATTATAAGGATGTGATGGAGAAAAATACACAGTTAACAATCATAACATGTCATGAACATGAGTAAGTTAAATACTACTATCCAAGATATCTAGGGAAATGATTCAAATATATAAGAACAAGATCTGTTCCCAGTAGACAGATGGTTAAAAGATCTGAACAAGAAGTTCTCAAAGGATCAAATTCAAGCTCTAGTATAGCAGTCATATAAAAAAATGTTCCAGATCACTATTCATAATAGAAATGTGAATTAAAACATCTCTGAAATTCAACCTCTCGCCCATCAGACTGTCAAAGATGACAAAAATTGAAAATGACTTTTGTTGGAGGAACTTCAGGAAAACAGGCACACTTATATACAGCTGGTGGAACTGTGAATTGGTCCAGCCTTTCTAGAAAGCATTTTGGAACCATACACATATGATGCCTTTATAAGGGAATATATATCCCTTGTACAGTTGGATAAAATGATCTCTGAGGTCTCTTTCAACTCTGGGATTCTGTGAAATCAGTGAATATGTCATAGAGGAGATCACTTCTGAGCTGATCTTAAAAGGAAGAGAAAGATTTCAACCAACATTGATATGGGGAGAGTGTTACTGTTTTATATATGAATGCACTGAGATTTGATTTGGCTGAAATATAGTGTATAAAAGAGAGTAGAATGTAATAAATTTAGAAAGGTAGTTTAGACCCAAATTGTGTTGGGCCTTGAATAAGAGATTAAATAGTTTGCGTTTTGTACTACTGTCAGTGGGGATCACAGAAGTGGGTTTTTGTTTTGTTTTGTTGTTGTTGTTGTTTTTTTTATATAGGGCAGTGGTGACCAAATCAGGGATACTTATTAGGAAGATCATTTGTGGAAATGGGAAGGCAACAAACCTGTATTAAGAGTGTACTATGTGCCAGGCATTGCGCTAAGTGCTTTACCAATTGTATCTCATTTGATCCTCACAACAATCTTGTGAGGTAGGTGTTACATTTTACATTACATAGTACGTTTGAGAAAAATGAGGCAGGCAAAGTGTAAGTGACTTGCCCAGAATACACAGCTGGGAAGTGTCTGAGGCTGGATTTGAACTCAGTTCTTTCTGACTCTAAGCCCAGGACTCGATCTACTGTGCCACCTAGCTGCCTCTTGAAAGATGGGTTTTAGAGAGGAAAGACTGGAGACAAGAACTTGTTATTCCAGATGTTATCCAGAGGAGAGATAATAAGAACCTCAGTTGACTGGATTGTGTTAGTGTGACTGAAGGGAACAAGAGGAATGATACTATGAAAGTAGGATCTGTAAGTCTTGGCAACTGATTGAATTGGGGGCATGGAGAGTGAGGAGTCAAAAATGACTAAGGTTTTGGATCTGGGTGACTTTTAAAAGGTGGTGCCAATAAACAGGACTAAGGATATTGAGAAGGGGGCAGTTTTATTGGGAAAATTATGAGCAAAGATCAACTGTTACAGAATCAACTGTTAAAGACAGGTAGGACCTTGAAGATTATCTTGTGTAGCCTCCTCATTTCGCAGATGAGAAAAATGAAGCATAGATATTCAATGACTAATGTAAGGTCATAAGCTAATTACAAATAGAATGATAACAAATCTAAGTTTTTTAATTCCAGAAGCAGTACTTTTTCCACTATACCAGTGAGTCATAGGTGGAAGTTAACAATAATCAAACCAAATTCTAATGGCATGTTTCTTAAAATGTTTTTAATAGGAAATAGCAATCTGTAAGAAACTTACACACACTTCTTAAGGTTGATTTTTTTTTATGACTTTGTAGTCCTTCCTTTAAAATCTTCCTCATGGGTCATAGTCCATTATTTGCTGGGGAACCCTAGTTGGGCCAAAATTACTTCCATTACTATATTACTTATTTTAGAATGAGAAAATAGGAATGTAGATAGCTGGCATTTTTTTTTTCATACTTCATGAAAAGTATTGCCAAAATTCAAGGTCCTAACCTCATAAAGGATAAGAAATCCAAACTTTTAACAATGGAAATTATTAAATTATCTCAGGGATTTTCAGTGATCAAAAGTATGCAAATTTATATTGAGTCTTTAAAAGAACAATTCGTTTTCTGTGAAATAGTAATACTTAATGAAGTCATTCTATTAAAAGCAAATTTTAAAATAAACAATTCACTTAACCTTTTTTTTTTTTCTTGACAGGGACAAGAATGGTAAGCCCTGCATCTTTAAGAAAATTGCTGGAATCTTGTAAAAGTCTTTCTTTACTTGATGTGTCCTTCTGTTCACAGATTGATAATAGAGTTGTTCTAGAATTGAATGCCAGTTTTCCTAATGTGTTCATTAAAAAAAGCTTCACTCAGTGACTCACCAGTCTATGTGCTGCCATGGAATTAATTTGACATCATGTGATTGGTTTTGTTTGTTTGGGGGTAGATAGAAATGGACATATACTTTTTAAAAGGAAAGTAAGAAATTACTCAAGGAGAAAGATAAAATCATATTTTCATAAAATAGGGGGCATCTATACAAGAATGTAATATGAACATGCTGGGGAATTAATAATAATTCTTATTATTCTGTATCTAGTGATTGTTTTACTCATTAATCACTGGTAATGCACGTTTTAATCAATAGTTATGAATTCAACCTAAAATAATTTACTTCTAATGTAAAAATTTTAACCCATATGTAAAGGTACATTTTGTGTAATAAAGTACTGTGATATTTATGTAAAAAATAAAGTTAATTTTCCATACCTAACAATGAGGACTGATATTTATCAGATGCCTTTATTTACTGAGTTATGGAACTTTAAAATCAGCTTTTACTAGGAAGCTTTTGTGACTGGCATGTAATATTTTATCACAGAAAAAAGCAAATTTGAAGGAAATTTTACTTCCTTTTAATTTTTTCTTTGGGGGCAAGAGGAGAATAGACTTGGACCTACCCATTTTAATCTATAACATATTTGGTAGGAGGTATGTATTCCCTTTTAAAAAGATGATATACAATGCTGTTTTACAGTACACCTTTAATGATATAGTACATGTACGAAAGAACCCTCTGGGAATGTGAGCAGAAACAAAAAGGAAAGAAAATTACCTACTTCTTCTAGCTACTGTATATATAATATTGGTGTCAAGTACTTACTGTCACATAACTGATAATGTATAGAGGACCCCAAAGCAATTTTCTTCTCAAATTCCTGTCACCTTGGATTGTGTTGACTTGTGCTGCATCTGCTTACCATATGAAACACTGAAAAGTATATGATCCAAGATAATATATCAGCAACTCTTCCCCAGATTGAATACTTGACTGATATAAAAGAGAAAACACTCATTTTATGTAGAACAAGACCACATCCAACTCTCATTCATAAATTGAGTATCCAATTTGATACCTGTTCAGGACTTTTTCCTTCCTTCTGCTACCTTAATTTGGCACTTTTACTATTTACAGTTAACACTAACATCACAGTATAAGCAGAATAAGCAAACAAAAAACAGGAATGGGGAATTTAAACTGGTTAGTTTTGCAGCTATTTTTCAGTGTTCTTAATGATTTTATAGTATAAGAGCTTGAAAGTGATATTACAAGAATTCCCCAAGTTAATAATGGATTGGTGAATTTCTCTTTTACTACTGAGAGAAGCTATGCTTTGAATAACACTTTACAAACTTTTTAACATTTTAATTATTTTTAACGTTCTTTTCTTTTTTAAATTTTGAGCTCCAAATTCTCTCCATCCCTCCCACCCCCTCCTGTGCCTTCTGATGCAGTACAGCAATTACACATGTGAAATCATGCAAGACATTTCCATATTAGCCATATTTACAAAAAAGCAAGAAAGATAAAGAAAATGAGAAAACTATATTTCAATTTTCCCTCAGAGCTCATCAATTCTTTCTCTGGAGGTGGATAGCATTTTTTTTTATCATGAGCTCCTTGGAATTATCTTGGATCACTGTATTGATCAGAGCAGCCAAGTCTTTCACAGTTGATCATCACCACGACATTGCTGTTACTGATCTCCTAGTTCCTCTCACTTCACTTTGCATCAATTCATATAGGTCCTCCCATATTTTTCTGAAACTACTCCCATCGCCATTTCTTATTGCATAATCCATCATAATCATATGGTACAACTTATTCAGCCATTTCCCAATTGATGAGCATCCCCTTGAGTTCCAATTCTTTGCCATCACAAAAAGATCTGCTATCAATATTTTATACAAATAGGTCCTTTTCTTTTATTTTTATCTCTATGAAATGTATACCTGGTAGTAGTAGTATTGGGTCAAAGCGTATGCACAGTTTTATAATCCTGTGGGCATAATTCCAAATTGTTCTCCACAATGATTGAACCGTTCACTACTCTACCAGCAGTTCATCTAGTGTACCTATTTTTCCCTCATCCCCTCTATCGTTTGTCATATGGTATGGGGTCGTATCTCAGAGTTGTTTTAATTTCCCTTCATCTAATCAATAGTGATTTAGAGCATTTTTATACAACTATAAATAGCTTTGATTCTTCTGAAAACTCCATGTTTATATTCTATGATCATTTATCAATTGGGGAATGGCTCTAATTTTTATAAATTTGACTCTTTTATAATTAGCATATATTTGAAAAATGAGGGCTTTTTCAGAGAAACTTGCTATAAAAATTTTGGTATTACTCCATTGTCTATCATACCTTTAAGCATAATGACGTTTCCCTGATTATCTCTCTTAATTAGATCTATTTTTGCTTTTGCTTTGTCTGAGATCATGATTGCAATTCATGCCATTTTTACTTCAGCTGAAGCACATTAGATTCTGCTCCTGGTTTCTGATCCATTCTGCTGTTTGCTTCTGTTTTATGGGTGAGGTCATCCTAGTCACATTCACAGTTATGATTACTATCTATTTTCCTCCATCATATTTTCTTCTGTTTCTTTCACTCTCTTTTTATCCTGGCCTTCCTGAAAAGTCTATTTTACTTATAACCACTGCCTTCCTTAATCTGCCCTCTTTTTAATCATCTGCCATCCCACCTTTCCATCCTATTTCCCTATTGGATAAGTTACATTTCTATACCCAATTTAGTGTGTATATCTATTCTTTCTTCTTCCAATCAATTCTGATGAGAATGTGGTTCAAGCATTGCCCTCCACCCATCCCCTATTTTCCCCTCCATTGTAAAAGCTCTTCCTTGTGCGCCTTTTTATGTGAGAAAATTTTCCCTATTCTGTGTCTCCTTTCCCTTTTCTCCCAGTGCATCTGTCTTTCTTACCACTTCATTTTTTTTTTCAGATCATTCCAATATGATTGACTCACATCCAGGCCCTTTGTCTACGTAAACTCCTTTTAATTGCCCTAATAATGATAAAACTCTTAGGAGTTACAAGTATCAGCTTCCCATACAGGAATGTAAACAGTTTGACTTTATTATTGAGCCCCTTCTGATTACTCTTTCATATTTCCCTGTTTATGCTTCTCTTGAATCTCGTGTTTGAATGACAAATTTTCTATTTAGCTTTGGTCTTTTTATCAGGAATGCTTGAAAGTCCTCATTTCATTAAATACCCTTTTTCCCCTGAAGGATTATACTCAGTTTTGCTGAGTATTCTTGGTTGCAATCCGAGCTCCTTTGCCTTCTGGTATATCATCTCCCAACTCCTCTACTTCAGTAATTGGAAGCTGCTAAATGTTATGTGATCCTGACTGTGGATGAATGATATTTGAATTTTTTCTTTCTGGCTGCTTGAAGTATTTTCTCTTTGACCTGGGAGCTCTGTAATTTGGCTATTATATTCCTGGGAGTTTTTGTTTTGGGATCTCTTTCAGGAGGTGATTGGTGGATTCTTTCAATTTCTGTTTTGCCCTTTGGATCTAAGATATCAGGGTAGTTTTTCTTGATAATTTCTTGAAATATGATGTCTAGGCTCTTTCTTTGATCATGGCTTTCAGGTAGCCTAATAATTCTGAAGTTATCTCTCCTTGATCTATTTGCTTAGTCAATTGTTTTTCCAATGAGATATCTCACATTTTCTTCCATCTTTTTCATTCTTTTGAATTTATTTTATTGTTTCTTGATGTCTCATGGAGTCATTAGCTTCCATTTGCTCAATTCTAATTTTTAAGGAGTTCTTTTCTTCAGTGAATTTTTGTGCCTCTTTTATCATTAGTCCAATTCTGTTTTTAAGGTGTTATTTTCTTCATTTTTTTGTGCCTCTTCAAGCTGTTAATTCTCTTTTCAGAATTTCCCTGCATTACTCTCATTTCTTTTCCCAGGTTTTCCTCTACCACTCTTATTTCTTTAACTGTTCCAGGAATTCTTGCTGGCCTTGGTCCAATGAACATTTTTCTTTGAGGCTTTTTTTGGGTAGCTATTTTCACATTGTTTTCTTCTGAGTTTGTGTCTTGGTTTTCCCTGCCACTGTAATGGTTTTTTATGCTCAAAATTTTTATTGTTGTTATTTGCTTATTTTCCCTGCCTATTTCTTGACTTTGAATTTTATGTTAGAGTTCAGCTGTGCTCACCTAGGAGTGGAGAGGCACTATCCCAAGCTTCAGGCTTTTTCACACTACTATTTTCAGAGATAGTTTGAGAATCTGCAAGTTTTTGGTGCTTCCTAGGTAGTGTGATTCTGGGAGAGGTGTGGTGACTGCTCTTCTGGCTTGTTCTTTGGTCTTTACCCAGCAAGGGCTCCTGGTTCCCTGTAACTGTGAAAATTAGTATTTGCAGTCTTTGCCTTGGAATTGTGACCAGGGCCCCTAGCTCCCTTGCCAGCTCCTCTGTGCCCTGGAACTTTGACCCAGAACTGAATATGGTCAATAGATCTACCTGTCAATGCTAGCTATACCCAAGGCCCACAAAGATTCCCTTATAATCCTTGTAACTAGTTGTTATGACCCCCTTACCATCTCTGGGCTGAGAGCTTCTAAAGCTGCTGTTGCTGCTGCTGTTGGCTACAGCCTCTACACATACTGGCTCCAGACAGGCCTTCACCCCAGTGTCACAGACTTCTGCTGACCCTTAAGGATTCTTTAGGTAGGAAAAATATCTCACTCCAAACTTTTGATGACTTTGCCACTTCAAAATGTAATTTGAGGGGTTATTTTAAAGTTTGGAGGGGGAAGGGGGCCCTTGAGTATACAAACAATGATTACATAACTCATTAAGGAGCATTCTGATACTAAAAGAATCATTCAAAGTAGCTATGAGCCTGTAAACCCCCACAAATTTGGAAACAGTGGTTCCAAACCATAATACTAATATCAACATCTTTAAAAGATTTTATGGAAATACTAATGGCCATTTTATTAAATTATATATATTATTTCTCTAACATTTTTACAAAATTTCAATAAGGTCCAAATACAAAGGAGAGTACATAGATATCTGTTGTTTACACACACATATCGCTATGTCTTTTTCAGCTAGATATATGGATCTCATTTGCTTTCTGGAAATAACTTTAAAATATTTTTAAAATAGTTAAATCAATATATTCATTCTACAGACAAATGTCTGTCCTGTGGTGGTTCTTTGTAACATCTGATTGAGTTAGATATACTCAGTTTTTTTTATTTCATTTTCCCCCAATTACATATACAAACAATTTTGAACTTTCATTTGTTTTTAATTTTAAGTTTCAAATTCTCTTCTTTCTTCTCTTTCCCCCTCCCCAATATGGTAACTAAATTGGTATAGGTTATACATGTGCAATCATGCACAAAATATTTCCATAATAGTCACAATATA